TGTAACTCCTGGGTTTTTGGCTCCTAGTCCAGCATTTTTACTAATCCAGAATGCTTTTCTGAGGTTCTTTTCAGCTATTTATATGTTTAAGGCACTAAATATTTGTAACAAAAAAGAGACTTTATTTTCTCATCAGTCCTTTTAAGTGTTAACTTTGTGTATATTATATTCTGAATGTTATTCAGTAAAGAGACAGGGATCTATAAAAGCCTGTGTTTTTTCTTCATTTGTTTTCCCATATGAAGGTGGGGGAATCCACGGGTCAGGATGATCAGATAGCAGTTGGCTTGGGCGTGGGGTGGGAGGGAGACATAAGCATATAAGCTGCAGTGGGGCGTGTGTGTGTGTTTGCATCAAAGCAAGCAAGAATTTTAGACAGACTCCTTTGAAAAAAATCAACAGGAAAAATAACCCACGTCCTTTGCTTGGAAGCTATAAATCACGAGAGTTTCCTATTGATGATCCTTACTGATTTTTGAAAGTGTGTCTCTTTTTTGTTTTAATCTGACAACGATTTGCTGTCAAAATTGATTACTTGAACACATTTGCTTCTTTGTACTCGTAAAGATATCCTGTAATCTGGTGAATTAAACACTGAAGGCAAGGCATATGGCCTTACTTCAATTAAAAACAACTGCAGAAAGAATGCTTGTAATGTAAATACAAAAATACGATGGTATTTTATACTCTAAAGACATCCTTACTCTAAATTTTGGTGCTTAAAACTGCCTTCTTTGAAAAGCCTTCTTGAAAGACAGAAAGGGAAATATATTTTCTTTAATAAATGAATCATACAACATAGCTTATTGTAACTTCTCATTAAGGACATTGTTATCTATTTTTGAAGTGACTATATTTCACTGTCGTTAAATTTTACATGTTAAATCAAATTCCGTTTATTAGTTACATTTGCCACTTCTGGGGGACAAATCTGGCTGATTATCTTTGCCCTCAGAACCCTGATGGCCTGTATGTAGTGAGTGAAAGTCCCCTAGGCATTTGAAATGGTTGAAGGAATATAAGAAAGTAACAGTGCAGAACCTTCTCCTCGAAAATTGACCATCCAAATAATAAATGAGCTTTTGTCTACAGTAGACCCAATCTAACAAAGGAAATATTTAAATTTAAGAAAAGAAGATTTGTGTTGACTATCTACTTCCAGTTTTTTCTTTCACTTACATGTTAGAGTTTTCTCTAATTGCATTGAATCTTTTTGTGGTTTCCTCTGTCTTTTTCTGGGTGGGAAGACAAAATTAGCTGCAACTTAATATTCATCGCTAATAATCTTTAGCTTGGAAAAAGGTACAGATCTATAGTAGCAATGACCAGCGCATTCTTTCTCTCAGATCCTTGAAAAGTGATGTTGGTAGCATTATCAGAGGCTAGAACCTGCCAAGTTTTTACACAGGGATAATTTTCATTTAATGTAAAGTGACAGAATTATAGAGACATGAACAGCTATATTGAAGTGCAAAGGTTTTCATTTTCACACAAAGGTTTCTTTCCCTTTCCTACTTTAGCTAACCTTTTTGTGTAACCAGCGTAGGAAGCCTGTGCAAATCAAACAGATTTTGGAATTGAAATGATTTTCACTACAAGATGAGAATGTTGACTTTATTGCAGGCCCCAGATATGCAGAAGACAATCCTCAGTAGGTCAGTAACCAATACATTTCATTTCTATGAAAATTCAAATAAAAGATGATATTTTAGTTTCAACAGGAAAAAAAATCCACTTTGGCTGCAAAGGTTAGTGAGATGCTGGAACATGATACTAAGAGGAGTTTTCAATCTTTATTCATTAGATTTTTTAAATGTTCAATTTATTACCTCAGGGTTCAGTAACAAATTAAAACAGATAAGTGGAGATTTTAATAATAGCCATCTGTCTGGAGTTGTTTTGATTTGGTTTCACTGGAAATAGGAAGGGTGGATTAGATTATCTTTGGATGTCCCTTTTAGATATGTTAATGAGGAGAATGCTGTGGTTAGTGTAGGAAAATAAAAGTCAAGTGAGCAGGTAATCTAACAGCTTTAGTGAAGTGTTGAAGACTGGGATGGTGGAATGAGGAAATGACCAGCCACTTGAAAGCTAGAAAAAAACAGGCCACAAAGAGCAAAGACTGTATAGGAACTTAAAGAGCAAAGACTATAGGAACTTAAAAGTCATTTGGGTAAGGGTGTTTGGAATAAAGTGGGTGGTGACTTTGTTAACAAACAATTTTATTTCAAATATGAATATGTAGGAAACATACAGCATAATGCTGGCTGTGATAGAGGTGTTATGAGAATATAAGTAATAGTAAATCAGTATGCAGATTTGAAGCATTTTAGTAAAAATTAAATTGTGCATTTCTCTCAAAATGGAATATTGTATGAGAAAGTAATAGTAAGTGCATATATCTAATGGACTGAAAAGGAAAATGAGTTGTTAATATTTAATAGTAGCTGAGCATAGTTGGAGCCAAAGGGCCTGAGTTTAAAAAGCTGAAATATGTAAAGAACAAACCGTGCCCCTGGTAAAAAGCTCTAATGTGCTTAGTACAATAAGTCACAGAGAAATCATTGTTATATTTCACATCTTTGAAGAAAGAACACCAAATATCAGACACATCTGATATATATTGTGCTTAATACCGGGTAACAGACGTGAGACTAAGAAGGATCATAAACTAGTTTCTCTAAGTAGTGTTATCCTCTCAAACCGAGGTATGCCATGGGCAAACCCACTGGTGTTTCCCTATGTAATGTTAGTTGGGTTGTGTGGATTTCAACAACAGTTGTAGGTTTTAAATTTCAGTTCTCCTGAGAAAATTTTTCTTTCAGATATCTAATGGCATTGCTACCTGCTATGCTCTATTTAGCTGTTTGTCTGTAGAAAGTTTTGTTACTATAGCTATGGAGGTATCTGAAAGGAAGGACTTTATACTCAAATATTTAGACTTATTTGTTTACTCTGCTAAAAGAAATGTGAACTGGTATTCTCTTTGAGGGAGAGGTGCAGAGTGTGCTTTCTCTCTACCCATAGCAGTGTTGCTGGACGTTTTGGCATCCGCCAGTGGGGCTTCTGAGTCTGGGACAAGCAGGCAGGCAGAGCACTTTTCAGGCACCTCCCAAAGGAGATCTTCTCAGTGTGTTTGTTATTTAGTGAGAAGTGTTATAAATTCTTGTAGCTTCATACCATCACGTATGAAATATAAATATGAAGTAGTTATAGACCTAAGTTCTTCCTTTAGCAATTGTAACATTGAAAATTGAATTCCTGCTTCCCAGGGAGGGACTGACATTTTATTAGAGAGATTTTTAAAGGATTATTGAAGATTCTTGGGCATTTAAGAAAAACGGAATTGTTTGAGGAACATGGCAGTATATCAGATAGTAGGAGCAGGCTAACTGTATTTTTTCCTGGACAATATGTATTAGAATCTTGAAATATCAGTTTTTGCAGTGCATGTAGCAGGTATTTTTGTAATGGATTTTTGGGTAAAAACAACTGTAAATACCCAAAGTAACTGTAGAGATGGCTTCCTGGTCTGTATGTCAGCACACGATCTGGTGTCTGCCAGCCTGTCCGATCTCAGCATCGGTCACTTTCTCCATTGCTCCTTTTGTTGCAACCCCATGACCTTCTTAACTGTTCTGTGAACATAACCTAATTTGCTTCCAAACGCGATGCCTTTCTACTTGCCCTTTACTTGCTGTTTGCTCTGCCTGGGGACAGTCTTTCCCCAGCTCTTTACTGGCCTCTTTCCTCCCTTCCATTAGAACTCTTCTCAGGTTACCTCATCAAAGAGGTTTTACCTGACCACCCAGTATAGCCCTTCTCCCATTACTCTTTTTTCTCCTACTCTGCTTTAGTTGTCTTCATAGCACTCATCTTTACATGAAGATATAGTCATAGTCTGTTTACTTTTAAGTGCTTTGAGGTCAGGGGCTTTATCTGTTTTGTTCCCTGAAAGATTCCTAGTGCCTTAAGCCATTAAGGACTCAATAATTATTTGTTGAATGAATAAACGATTGTCCAAGTGTATTATGAAAATACTCATACATACCTTATTGGACTTATTGTCCTTTATTTTATAAAGTACAGTTTTAGAAATCTGGAATTTGTTTCTCCCCACTCTAAGTCTGCAAAGGTGAATTTGTAGCCTTTATATTTGTGTTACTTGGCATTGGAGATCTGGAGTGCCAATCACTCCTTTCTTCTACTCTCCTGGATTCCAGCTGAATATAAACATGAAACAAGAGTTGAATGGAGATTGGAGCATATATATTATTAAACTGGGCAAATGCCCAGGATCTGACAATGCACGGGTTTTGGAGAAGATAGATTCTAAGTAACTTGGATTCAAGAATGTCCAATGGACTGCTGGCCCCTTTAGTAGTTACCCCAACTCCCAGACAGCCCACTGTCCTTGTCAGCAGTCTATGAGCAGGCCATGAAAAGTCAAAAATGGTACTTGCTTCATTGATCCACTGGTAAAGAATGTGAAATTGTGTCCCATTGGATGTCAGATTCCCACTGGTTATGTGCTAGCAAGTTCTTTTATGGAGATGTTTCAGTAAGCAGTTGGAGGGAGAAATTGAAGTGATTGCTCCAGCTCCACCTGCCCCAAATAGAACCAGTCAGTACTACCCTCTTCTGGGGATAAAAGAGGAAGGGGTACAATGGTTATCCACTGAACAATTGTGATTGCAACACATATATTAAAATATACCTACAAAGAGAAATAATTTTGACCAGAAAACAGCTATCAACACAGGACATGTCTGAGAGTTGACTGCAATTGTGAGTCATCTAGACACCTGCCAAATGAAATAGTAGGCTTTATTTGTACATGTGTTCGAGGGAGGAATGCATGTTAACCCAGCATCTATTTAGCACTTGTCAATTAAAAAGATATATACTTCTGAAAAAAAAAAATCATGTCCTACCCTTGACATGTTTAATATGGCTAATAATGACTTCAAGTGTAAACTCAGGAGCCTTTTATGTTTCAGGTTCGGGGGAGTAAGGGAGAAGTTCTGTACATTTTGGATGCTACCAACCCACGACATTCCAACTGGCTTCGCTTTGTCCATGAGGCACCATCTCAGGAGCAGAAGAACTTGGCTGCTATTCAGGTGAGCTTATTTGCTTCTTATTTGTACCCTGAACTGAGAGGGGGGATGAATTAATTTATAACTGTACTCTGTTATAAATTTATTTCCAATGACCTGCTTCAAATAACAGTAACTAACTCATAAAAGCAGAGAAATCTTGTCTAGACAGCATATGCAGGAAAGGGCAAACCTACCTGTAAGCTAACACCTGATCACTCACTTTATGAGAGTTCTTGAGGGGATGAATTATAGGGTTTGATATTGTCCTTGGCAGATCTGGCTTTCAAGTACTTTTATTTCATTCAGTGAATGTTTATTGATAGTATTTTTGGTTTGATAGTTTATTTGGTTCATATTACCATACTCCGTGTTATTGTTTGGGAAAGGCCTCATGGAGAAAGTTTACTTGGGTATGTTTCCTATGACTAGACTGAGCTTCTTGGGGGTGATATGTTAGTCAGGACTCTCCAGAGAAACAGAACTAATAAGATATATATACATATATATGTATACACACAGATAGATATACATATATACATATACATCTATATGTATATGTATATGTGTGTGTGTACATATATATGTATATACACACATATACATATACATATAGACACACGAGGGTACTTCAGAAAGTTTGTGGAAAGATTCATATTATCTTTTAATTCTATTTTGCCACACACTTTTTGAAGTACCCTTGTATATATATATATATTTATTATAAGGAATTGGCTCAAATGGTTATGGCAGCTGGCAAGTCCAAAACCTGTAGAGCCGATATCCCAGTTTGAGTCCTGAGGCCAGAAGCTGCTGTAGAACCAGGAAGAGCTGATGCCCCATGTCAAAGCCCACTGGGCGGGAGAAGCTAATGTCCCAGTCAGAATTTTTTCAGGTGGAAGAGTTCTGTTACTTGGAGGTGAGTCAGCCATTTGTTCTATTCAGGCATTCAATTGATTGGATGAAGCCCACCCACATTATAGAGGGCAGTGTACTTTATTCAAGTCTACTGATTTAAATATTAATCTCATTCCAAAACACCTTTACAGAAACACCCAGAAAAATGTTTGACCAATGGTCTGGCACCCCGTGGCCCAGTCAGTTTGACATATAAAGTAACAATCACAGGTGGGAACCATGTTTTACTGAATTATGTTTCCCTAGTATACTGCTGCACATAACATTAGCCTCTGATACAAACTATAAGTTGAATTTAGGCAATCCCTCAATGGAAATTAAAGCAAGAGAAAAAGATGCAGTTTTTAGAGGGTCCCTGTAATTAAAATGCATTGGTTAGATGACCAGGAGAATAAGGAAATGTTATGTTCTGGCAGAGAACTTACTTATCACGTGTGAAAACTCAGCCTCCTGGATCCTAAACTGCAGAAGACGAAGTAAAGCTATAGTAAAAGCAAGAGGGGAAGGGAAAAGAAGAAAGGAATGAACAATATTTTATTGTCTACCATGTACACGTGTTCATATACATGTAGTCATTTCTTCATAGAAACTCTGATAGTTTGATAAGTTATTGAGGATTATGCTTATTTCTTTCATTTCTGAGTATAAAATCAACAGTGGTAAGAGGGAAAATGCACAGAATTAAGTTTTAAAGTATTCAGAAAACAGTCAACTAGAATATTCCATTTCCTAATGTTGTCATCTAATCATTTTAAATACAAATAAGTATTAGATAATCCACGTGATTACTGTCTTTTTTTATATAGGTACATAAGAGATGACACTTATCAAATGGCTGAGTTGGGATGGAAATTAGGATCTTTGACAGCCAGAGATATTCAAGCCACTTTTCAGATCATGAATGAGATACATTGATCCAATCACAATTTTTTTTTTTTTTTGTCTTTTTTCGTGTCCGGCAACGGATCGCAAGCCTCAGTGTCACGTCCGTACCGGACCGGGACCGGCAACGGGATCGCAAACCTCGGTGTCGCGCCTGCACCTCGCTCAGCCAGTGAGCGGGAACCCGTCTGTATGTGGGATCTGAACCCTCGGCGGGAGCGCCGCCGCGCTCCCAAGCGGTGCACTGTAGCAGTGCGCCACCGGGCCGGCCCTCCAATCACAAATTTAAACTGACCTTTATTTTTAATATGTAGTTGTTAATTTTTTTTTTTACAAGACTTTTTATATTTTATATTCTTTCATGGCTTCAAACTCATCTCACGGGATCTTTGGTTATGTCATAATTTTAATTTATAGACTCAGTTTGTTTCTTTGTAAATACTGCTATTATCAAAATTGCCTATAGAACCATGAAATTTACTTTAAGCGAACCCATTGTTTTGGTAGGTTCTTCATTATTGTGTTTGTAGAGAATGTTATTTAAACTAGATTATTTTCTTCTTATGCTTAAATAATGACTTTAAGTTTTCCCCAAATTCTTTTAGTTTTTGAAATTTCTTCCTTTTGGCTATCATTTCTGTAGAATCAGTAACTGTTCATTTAGCTGAACTTTTTAAGGTGTTATGTGCTCAGCTTTGAGTTTTGCCTTAGACCTCCTCAGATAATCCTTCTTTAAAAGTTCCCCTTAGCTGTACATCTTGCTTATAATTATTTCCTTAATTAATGGAAAACTAAGTCAACGAGTGTTTATCTTGATCTTATACCATCCACATTTGCTATTCTACTGTGCCCTATCTTTTATCATATTGTAGGCACTCTCTTGTTTTTAGTAATCACATTTTCTAAGACACAGTTTTCATGTTCATTTGGTGCATTCAGTGCAGTACTTTTTTCCTCTATGTCACCTGTGTTTTTTTCCTTGAAAGAGAATAGGAATCTACAAAAGATGACAATTGTAACTTTGGTGTTCCAAGAAATTATTAATGATTTAGCAAGAGCGGGGGCAGGTGAGGATGGGATTAGGAGTCATGTAACTAGAGGCTCTGTCAAATTTCACTCATGAATTTAATTAGAATCTAAATCTGTTTATAGGCTACTGTAAGTGTCTTTTTGTCTAGAAGCAATCAACGGTGGCTTTCATTTCTTTTAACACTGTTTCGCCCTTTCTTAACAGGGGGATTGAGTGCACTGTTACCATGTTTTTCGTCATAGAACACAATAGGGATCTCTGTTAGTTCCCTTGAGGTAATATCATTCTTATTTGAACAGTAGCTGGAGTAGTGGATTGCTGAGGGTTTGAAATCACATCTGAGCTAGGGGCAGAGAGCATAATAGTTGGGTCACATGGCTGAAAGCAATGTCAGCCTTCTAATTGGTTGGGATGATCTCCTGAGCATTGCATTCCTGAAACACTGAATTGGTAAAAGCAGATCATAATGTTTCCTGCATAACATTATGAATCACTTTCATTCCAAATTGCATCTGAAATTTGGGGTATTCAGGAAATTTTTTATCTGAGCTCTGTGTCCCAAGAGTGGAGTAAATGAGAAACATTTGTGGCTATGTAGCTTGCTTGGTGGAAAACGTCAATACTTGGTCCAATTTTTATGGACAAGGGATTAAGAATTTGAGGTCTGTTTTGGAAGAGGATTGGAACTCCTTCTTGGAGACTTGATTATATTTCTAGTTTTGCAATTTATTTGATTTTGGAAAATTTGCTTTGGAAATGATGATTTAAGTATCTGAATTATTGAAGAAGGATCTTGTAAGCAAACAATTCTTCCTACATGCACACTTTTCAGAGTAAATAGTTGAACTGTGTGTTCAGACTTCTGACAAGTTTCCAACTATGACTAGAAAACTCTAAATGTGACAGATGTAGCTTAAAATGAACCAAAAGCATTCTTAAGCTCCAAAAGAAATGGATGATTTTTATTAAATATTAATTTTGTTGTACTAAAGGAAAAATATGCATATGTAGTATTTCAAAAAATATTTGACCTAGTCAGTGTTTTGCAGGCTTTTAAAAATTTCTGATTTTTTGACAGGAAACTCTTTTTTAAAATAGTTTTATGTCATTTAGAGTTTTAAATTTCCAAAAAATTAAAAGTTTTAACTCTAAACTTTTAATTTTTTGGAAATTTTAGAGATAGTGTTCCATCTTATGTTCTTAAAGACATATTTTCAGACATATATTTTCTTGGGACTGTTTGCCATTTATTAACATAACTGAAAAGGTGGCTTGGTGTGCTAAGAAAAAGGAGCATATGGAAAAACATTTGGGTCCTTGTCCAGTTCATGAGGGGTGTCAGAGTGTGGTGATGCTCTAATGAGTTGAGAGGGTACTGGGTTTTGAGCTGATATGTCATCAAAGTTCTGCTCAGACTCTGCTATCAGTTTAGATTTCCCATTAGCAGGAGCATTATTTTATCACAGATTATTATATCTCCTTTCTCTGCCTTTCCTGAGGATAGATAATTGTAGGCAGTTTATCCTGGGGTCTTCTCTGGTGGCACATGAAATTTCAGTATAGCAGAGTTGGGAGATGAAATATGGATCCCTAAAGAGAGAAGCAACTTTGATGCTTTTAAAGCACAGATAGGATTTTCTTCATTGTCACCAAGCCACTGAGATCAACAGACTTCTCAAATAGAGTTTATGCAAAATTCAAATAGCAGTTGTATCAACTAAGCAATCATGCAACCAACAAAAATAGCAGAAGGACTTACCACTCATATACAATATTATAGTTTTATCTAGTTCTCTTTCTTCTCTAATTATTTTTCTCCATGTTAGATTTATACAAACAGCATATCTACAATATATTCTAGGATCTATCTGTTAATGAAATAGTAATGTTCAACTGCCTAGTGATTTTCTTCAGTAATAAAATAAAAAATATCAGTCAAATAACTTGCAGAACTGTCTTTTTAATGGATTATCTCTCAGTAAGGTATATATTTGTCTTTTATTAGGGTAACGTTTAAACTAAAGGGAACTTTCAATCGATTCTATGATGTTTTAAATACCAGCCTTACTGTGCCCATGTGAAGGGGAATTGTATTACTTATCAATTTGTTATTTTTATTCAGGTTGTAGTTTATTGGCAGGGCAAATAGGTGTTTACAGAAATATCCTTAAGTTATACATAGTGATAAAATTGA